TAATGATTCAGATCCATCAAAATAGGCTCAAAATCGGACTGTCTGTGAGGCCCAAAAATGAACACCAACTAAATAGGCCCAAACATTTCGCACATGGTCCTGGATAAGCAGGCCCTGATAATAACTGTTACACGTTTGCAATATCATTTGTCAAAAGCCTGCAAATAACCACACGAATAAAACTCATAATATAATGACATTATATCCAGACACGAATTTTTCCAAGGAAAATATTTTATTTTCGAAATCTCTTATCGAAATTATACCGTCTATAGCGGGGGTGGTCAAACTTGTTTTGATTAAGGGGTATGAATAGTATTGAAAAAATCTATAAAAATGTACTTTTGTATTTCCAATAATATGGTTTATTAAGTGGTTTGAGAGTAAAAACACCTATTATCAATATTGTAGAAGAGAAATTAACCTGTGCCTGTATAGAAGTCAAATTTTAATATTTGTAATTACTAAACTCAATAATTCAAATTCAAAAAGTAAAATATCATAAGTTTTAGAGTTAAATATTGGACATTGAAAATAAAATATCAAAAATCGACTCCTATACAAGCCTAGATAAACTCCTTCTCTTCAATTTGTATAATAGGTGTTCATACTGTAATGTCACTCAGTAAGCTATATTATTGGAAATACGAAACTAAGTTTCAGTGTTTCACTAAAATTCACATTTGTAATTAGAGTGTAAAATGTTCCGCTAATGACATGTGCGTGCACGTGCGGGTGTGCTCCACTATTTATTTTATACACAGTCACCCACACTAATAATCACTTACTACGCACACATTTACACGACCCGCATGCACACCATTAGAAAATTGCCTATACCGAACTCCTTAGAAACGGTCGGTATGCATACCCCTTAAGATCTACTGAGGGTATATTTTTTCTTTTAGGATCGACTAATGTAAAAAAATTATTTAATATTAATAATAACATATACTTATAAAAATAACAAAATTAAAGTGTTAAGTTATCTAAAATGAGTGTTTCATGTTAAATTTTTAAGTAATTTTAAAATGTATTAACATTTTACTGTTGATGTAGAAGCGTGTCATTGCACATCATGCGAAGACGCTGTGCTAAAGTCTAAAACTAACCTACTCAGATTCTATAAACTATAACTTTCATGTGAGAAAAGGCCATTTTACACTAACAGGTTAATCCGAAACATATATATTTAATAAGTGTATCTACTAAATTGCAAATATATAATATATAAGAATAATTAATAAATTCTAACAATGGGGATCGACTTAGAAATCGTCCAAGATCGACCAGTCAATCGTGATGGACTGTTTGGCCACCCCTGGTCTATAGGTATAGGTACCTATATGAATTATAACTTAACCTATACCTACCACGGTTAGCGACTTTATATTGTGTAAATCAATGAAATTATACGATTTATACTATATCCAACCTATTTATAGTATAAATCAATACAATATACCTTACAATATATTTCAGTTAGGTATACACATGTAACAATAATAATTGAAAACGATAACATATATATTATTTTCCATAACAATTTTTCACCATGTTATACTATACATAAAACAGTTTTCGATGTATTGTTATTCACTGCGCATAATGTGGTGCCCATATATACATCACTCACACAATCGTGCACAGGTATAAGAGTGAACTGATACCACATTAAATCATAATATTGTTATGATCCCAAACTCTGGCCGACGTTACATCATAATCGATCGGGCGACAGAGATATTATTATTATTCTTATTATTCGTGTAATGGAGACGCGAACGCGTTATTTTACATATATTGTAATGCGCTCGCGTTCACGGTTCGAGACGGTTTACGACTTTAGAAAATAATAATAATATGACCTTTGTGCTTGTCTCTTTTTCTCTCTCTGTCTCTTTCACACACACACACACACGATATCGGCGCTCGAGATGACCGTTGTCGATACCGAGGCGAATTATGGTAATTTCGCGTCGACCGAAGGGAGCCGACTGCGTATACGCATTATATTGTTGACACGGTGTTATTGTTATTTTCCATTTTTCTTTTCTTTTCTAACCTACCTACACCGTACGCGATCCCCTTTGTTTTTTTCGGAATAAATCATGGAGGGCTGATTATTATTATATTATTATTATTATTGACCGTCCGAGACTGATCGTTCGCGATTACGCTACATAAATGAATTTGACTTGAAGAATTATTATTTCGTCGTCGGAGGTATTATAATACAGTCGTCTCGTAAAATATCAACATCACTGTTACCATGTATCATTGTACCTACCTATAATACATATTATAAATTATAATATCGAAAGACGTTTTACTACAAATCTTTACGATAATATAGTTACCGGCCCAATGTCTTTTGTAATTCTAAACTATTATATGTTTTTTTTTTTATTTATTTATGTCGACAGTGATCGTTTTTCCGGGTATAACGTGTGATCCGGGTTGGCCTCGTTCTAGCCCCGTTTCCGGTATATAGGACGTAGGTATGCTTTGGAGAGATGATATTTTGATTTTCCAGTATTGATATAAAAATAAATGAGATCAGAAAATTGTAACCGAGAGTGGTCTAATCTACGACACATGGGTTTTAAAGTTAACCGGGGTTTTAGTAATAACTAATAATTCTTTAAAAAAAATAATATCAATTAAGCTTTAAAACCTATCTAACAACACCAGCTATATGACATGCAATTTATAATAACTTACGACGGTTTCTTGTGAGTATACGATTAATACGATTTTTATAAAATATAATGCATAATAACATATAATAATATTTACCTATATAAACGTATACACAAATTATTCAACTTCATTAATAACAGTATGGGTATACTACAAAAATAATTGAATTTAAAAAAAAAATTTAGATTTTTGTCTGTATATTTTGTACATGTTTTTTTCGCCGTTATATTTTATACTTTCATAAAATATTGAATACAGTTTGGCTCAGAAACGGTTGTACATTGAAAAAAAAATGACTGACTTTTGTTTGTTTGTTTCGTTTGTTTAACACTGTACATATTATACTATAAGATATATATCATGTATAAATGTATAATATGTAATGTATCATTGTGTACCTCACGTGTTTAGAAACGTCGAAGGACGTTCGTACTTGGGTATATACGACTGCTATTACATATACCTATGCATAGTGTAATAATGATATACGGAATTAGGAGACGTCTTCCGACCATTGTCATGTAAAATTTAACAGATATACCTACTCGATATATATTGGAACAGAATAATAATATAATAATCAGATTGTTGCAGACTGTCGCGGAATTCCGTATAAAATATATATTCGAAGTAAGACGACATAATAATACGTGTACCTACCTATAATGTTATAACATTATGGTTTTAGGTTTATGTCAGTATGTCATCAATACGGACCAATACATTATAATAGGCTATACTCACGTATAGATGATGATTTTTTTGTGAGCATTATATAATATTTTTCATGAAATGCAGTCGAGATTTCTTGCAGACTTATGTGATGGTAAAAAAGAAAACAATTGTTGCAGGAATACAAAAGAAAAACGTTTATTTATATTTATGCATTATTGTTGCAATGCATTTCAAAACACATTATAATATTAGGTCATACGCGTACTTTATATAGGTAATTCGTAAATAACTATTATTTAATCTCTAAAGTATTTATGGTCGTTAAAAGAAATGTTTAGTTAAGTTCGTGAAAAGTAAATGATATACCCATGCTACTTTAGTATTCGCGTTTTTAAGTAGACTTTAATAACCTTCGGTTCACAGGTGTGTTTCATGTTGTTTATTTTAAAACAAACTTTACAATGGGGATAAGAAATAATAATTACGTTTTTTACGCTTTCCATCGCACTTTCTTAAACTTGGTTCGAATAATTTAAAAAACGCTTTGGCATTAATAATGTGTACCTATATAATACCCAACAAGCTGCTCGAGCACAATGTAACGCAGCGTATCATTTTACACAGGTCAAAATATATATATTTAGATTTAGCTAATAACGTTTGTGTCATTGATATCGTACATATATATAAAAAAAATGTCACCACTAAATTGACCTTAACCGTTCGTGCAGTATATTTAGGTTGGCTAATAAAATAAACTTTGTATGTATAATTATCGGACTCGAAATATAATCATAATAATTATTAATAATGCATTATTCATTAAACTCTATGCGAAGTGTTTATTCGTAGGTACTGTATGTAATAAACATTTGACATTTACCTACTCTAAAGTCGGTGTTATTTGACAACATGCTAAATAGGTATACTGAAATACACTTTATTAAGTATATACCTACCTGTAATATCGCACCCTTGGTACAAGACCGCCACAACTCAAAATTACGATGTTTTGAGTAAAGCATACAGTTCGATAGCTATTATTTTTCTCTACTAAATGCTATACTGCCACAAGTCGTATCACAATAAACGTATCCGTAATACATTTGTGTCAGTATTGAATTTATTCATTTTTATAGTAAAAGAAAAATAATACCGCCATATTTTGACTTATTGCCTTGTTGCGTATTTGTATGTTTGTTTTATTAGAAACATGAAAAATCATAACTGCCTCATTTTGATTTGAGGCGTTTCAACTTAATAATTCTCAACTGGATTTGTACCTTTGAAAAAATTAAAACTGCCACATTTCGGTTTGTGGCAGTAACATGGCTTAAGATAAACAGGTTACGAAACGCAGCTGTGATTATTGAGGCTCTAGTCTGTCAATCTTCGGATACTAGCGAGAATGATACCTAGCGCTCCATGCGGTACTATTTAGCTTTATTTATATTTTTCCACGATACTTTTTGAATTTTGTCATGTATTTTAGTTTTAACTTACACGGTAAACAACACAATATTTTAAGATTTTTATGAGATTTTTTTGATTTTTTACATAAATAAACAATTATAATACATAAATATAACACGGATAAATGATAATATAAAACATTTAATAACCTAACTGGATACAAGTTTTGAAAGTTTCTTTTTGGCTCTATTAATTTTATTTAATTTTTGATTTTCAATGTATGTAAATTGCCTCATACGCATTGTTATATATATGGTGAAGATATCTGTAATCATTTCATATTTATGAATAGAACATGAAAATGTCAAGCTTGTCACATGAAGAAAAAATTCATTATAAGTATTTTCAAAGACATCACCAGCACTTGCATGTTTACAAAAGCAAGTTTCCAATACTTTTAATATTTTATATAAGTTACCACTAGGATGAGTTAAAAATCCTTTACTTTTTAAATTTACCAACTCTGATTCCATACCTAAGTTACCATCATTCTTTAAATTTTTTATACATACTTCACACTTGGACTTTTTGCACAGTCGTCTAGCTAAATACCTGCAGATTTGATTAAAATGGTTTGGAAGGATCCAACTAAATTTATAACACATAATGTAAGTATATAAAAAACCTTTTTATGTATTTATATTACCTTTAAACATTTTTTTTCGTATAAGCGATTACGTATCGTCTTAATGAGATGAGGTGCGTCACTAAAAACAAAAACTTTTCTAGTTTCATCAAATGGATTACAAAAACTATTATTTGTATTCCCTATCTTTCCTGAAATGCCTAAGTTATTCCACATGGTCCTATTTGTACTGGCCCCATCAGTAGTTAGTCCCAAAACCTGTGCTCCTGCGTTCTCTAATAACATTATTGCTTTCACTACTAATTTGGTCAAATCCATTCCTTAAAATTGTTTAAATATTAGTATATTAAAATTGAATTTTTCTTATCAATTATAATTTATATACCTTTTACAGGACCTTTGGAGGCAAAAACTGCAATAGGTTGTGTAAAACTATCTGCAAGACTAGACCACATAAATACCAAACCATGATCTGCTTTTTCAGTGTCTCTACTTGGAAGTTCTCCTCCAAAATCTTCCAATCCTGAATAACTTAAAGTACGGCTGTTTACTGATATACTTGATCTCAAATATACCTCATCTAATAGTAAAATGCCTTTTTTTTGATAGTCACTTTTACTCAACATTTTTTTTTTCAGAAGTTTAAAGAAATTAAGGTCAAATCCACATTCATTATTAATTGCCAAAAGATACTTTCTAACAGTTTTTACACAGGGAAGTGGAAGTATGTTTTGGTTTCTCAGAAATCTATATCCACTTGGGCTTCTGAAAATTATTAATTTGTATGATTCATATTTATTCATATTATTATATTTTGTAATAACTTACCTAATCTGTAAAATTAAGCATAATAGAATCCAGTTATCGCTATACCTTCTCTGATTCTTACATTTAACTTTAGCAGCATTAAAAATTTCATTGACTAAATTAGATTGACAGTCAGATAAATTAGATTTCTGAATTATTTCATTTAATGTGGTTGATGAGACTTGGGATATTTTAGTTTTGATATTATTCAACTGCAATTTCAAATTTTTAATTGTTTTATGCGCTCTCGAAAACTTTTGGCTTGCAATTTTTTTGGATTTAAGAATTTTTTTGAATTTGCTTTTTTTGCTCGGTGTTAAAGGTACTCTTAAAGACTTTCCAGCTGACAATATTTTGAATTTTTTATTTATGGTGTATTTTAATCTATTACACCATACACATAATTGACTATTCAAAACAGAATGAAATTAGAAATGTTATTATTTCAAAATTAATTTATTAAGGAAAATTTAAAATATTTCAGAATTTAATACCTGGCTCCATCTTCTATAATATTTAAACAATTCGCATGTTTCCAGTGACCATTAAATTCTATAAATTGAGAACCAAAAGAAGTTTTTACATTTTTGTCAGTTTTTACACCTCGACAAACATTAACTTTTACAAGTATATTTAGCATGTATTCAATATTCAATGTTTCATCATAATTATTTATTCCAACCTGTGATAACTTAATTTGTTTCTCATTAATGTAAAATGTTGGCTCAGAATCTATAAATATATTTTTATGGTAAAGTTAAGTTAGTATTCGAAGTACACATATTTTTTTTTTAACTGATAAATTATTATCCACGATACTAGTCATTATGACAAACATTTAGATGTAGATGTAACTATTGTTTACTTATTTTAATACCTTTTAATATAACTAATCGTTTTTCCACAACTCTTTTATTGTATATTTGAAATGGACTGAGAATAAAATAAGTTTTTGCTATAACAGATCCATTATTAGTAGTAACATCACAAAACCAATTCATGGGTAGTGAAATTGAACTTTCATCATTTATCAATATATTATCTTGAATTACTACCTCAGATATTGATTCAATTACACTGTCAGATAACTGGGCATTTAAAATAAATTTATTTTTAATTTACTTTTGTCAATGTTATTAAAATTATAATTTATTCAAACCTCAATACATGCTCGTTTGGCAAGTGGTGGTTCAAACTCATCATTTAGATTAACTTTAGAATAATTATGTTCGTTAAGCATTGTCATTGTTTCATTCACCTAATAATATTTTTAAATTAGTAAAAATAAAATATTTGAACTATTAATATATTTATATATCTATACTATTTCCTAAACTAACCTGGTTTATGTCATTTACTTCATCACTTAAATTATTAATTGGTATAACTCCAGATTTTAACCGTGGCTTTCTTAAACAAATCTAAAAAAATTTACCTATTATCTATTCATTTTTACTTATATGTATAATGTATATATTTCAATAGAACATACCGAGATTTGGCTACTACCATTACCAGACTCCCATGTTGATGTAATATCACTAGGTTTAAAATGGTTTGCACAAACTCTTGAATTCCTGTTTAAAGGACACCCAATAATATTTTCCCAGACATTCATCATATTTTTAGGAACACCAAATTTAGATGCAGCATTTTTACTACACCCAGGAACACAACACTTGTTGGAAACCATATTGGAATAAAGGAAAATATAGTACAAAATAAACTACTAAAAAGGCAAAAAGTAAAACGATGAAAAATGGAAATTGGTGCAATATTACAAAAGAAAACTATTGAGGATTGTATTGTATTGTAATCTTTATTCCAAATCCCAAATATGACATATAATATATATAATATGTCATGCCAAATATCCATCAATAAAAATTCGCGGGTAAATGTTTAAAGATAACATTGATAATAAATAAAATTGTTTTTGGCCGCAAGAACGCTAGCTACTATTCTCACACAAACCATCAGCTGTTTATATTCGAGAATCTTTGAGCATCATTTCTGTTGTATAGTTTTAATAGGTGGTTTCGTAACCTGTTTATCTTAAGCCATGGGCAGTAATAAATTATCAGCCTTTTGTTTTATTAGCCACAATCTTAATAATGGCGGTATTGATTATAGTGATATGAGAATTAATTGATAATGTGGCGATTATATTTAATGATAACCATCACGAACTAAGATATACAGGACTGGAAACAATAAGGTTGGAGGGTGTGAGAGGTAAATCCTCCTTAATGTATACAATGAGCGGGGTACGGGGGCTTCGAGTTCTTGTCAACACTAGCGCCATCTAGGTATCCAAAACAATAAATTAATAAATCGGTATGCTAATCAACAGGAGCTTAATTTCCCGCCTTTTTCATGCTTCGTAAAATATATAATTATACAATAATGTTATAAACTTATAATATATTATTATACATTTTATACCTAATTAACATAGTATAATTATAATTCATAATAATTGTGTCTGTTTGATCTTGACTTTGGTGACCTGATGTTCAACTTTTTTAAGAAAGATGCATGCTGAATAGTTTTTATAATTTTTATTTAATTTATTTATCTTAAAATACACACAATTATGGTGAGGTGTTGTGGAATAAATTGTCTTTCACATAATGCAAAAAAAAAAAATTTATTGACATTTCCTTGTAGTGATCATAAAACAGAAATAATGACTAATATTTTCCAATACTACATCACTATGAGAATGAAACAGTTTACTTTGTCACAAAACAAACAACTAAAAAAGAAAAGTTACAAAAAAAAAAAGTTATCAAAACTTATTACCTACTACATAATAGGTACTTTATAAATTATAGGTAATAGGTTCTACCTATTTTTTATTTTTTAATTAATGCTACCTATATAATAGATATTAGATACCTATGTAATGTCTTATTTCCATGATATGTTATCAACTAAATATAATTATACAATAAATTATTACAAATTTGAAATTATAGTTAATATCTATATTCTATAATAATATTTTGAAATCATGATACCTACGTCCTACATTCAAAAATATAAAGAAAAACCGCTCAAATATTTAATTATTTTCTTAGACGTTACACCTAATATTGAGTAATATATAGTATCTTTTTTTTATATTATATTTGGGTTGCTTTTGGTTTAAATGCATAACTGTTAACTGAGAAATATCCAAATCAATAATAATTAATAAATAATAACTATTAACTCGGATAGCGGCCGCCAGCCAAGAGTTGAGCGCTAGTGTTGATAAGAACCGAAATTCCCTCGTCCCCCGCACAATCATAATATTAAGATGTACTCGTATCAACATTCGTTTCCAGTCCTGTATATCTTAGTTCGTGATAACCATGATAATAATCTGATATTATACCTAACCGTGACCAAAGTAATAAATTGAAAAACGTGGATTTAGATAATATTCTATTTTAATCCTAATATATAAAATGACAAGGAAATCAGCTGTCTACAAGCAACCCGTGGAACGGAAAACGCAGTTATAGTGAAACCGTGGAGTAAAAAATGAAGCACCGCTCCGTTTCCCCAGCCCGCCGGCCAAGTCCCGTCGATTCCTTATAGCGCGACCAATCGCGTACCTTCGCAGCGGCGGCAGTCGGTTTTAAAACGTTTTTCGTTATCACCTCTTTTCCTATCATTTCGCCAATTTTTGAAATTTTCGGAAAATTAGCTGTTTTTACACGATTTCGACCCTTTCCGTCCTTTTTTATACTTAATTCGAAGCCGCCGGTGTGTAGTTTATATTCGTGCGCCGTTCGAAGCGGTCGCAATGTCGATCGAAAAATACACTCCCGACCGGACTTTTTTGCCGATTTTTTCCTTTTCTCCCACCGTTTCGTCTATTCACACGCCGTTTGTGCCCGAATCGTGTAGTCGACGTCTTTTTAAAGCCGTTTATATGGGCTTTTCGTTCGCCTCGCAATCGCGTTTATAAATTACGCCGGCGACCGACCGACCGTATATATACATGTATAATTTAATTTTTCCCTATGATTTAATAATTATTAACGAAAAACGCTTTTCACACGCCCCGTTAAATATATATATGGGAGATGCGCGTATTACAAGCGAATTATATGCGATTACATCGATGTACATCGAATATATCGGTTTACGTCGCTCCGTAGACGCACGGCTTAAGTGTTGATGTTTTGATCATATTTCACATCTCAAACTGTGTCCAAGTAGGTTAGGCGTTAGGTAGAAAACACGTAGGTCCCGGGTTCGAACCCGTCGTACGCTGCCCGAGCGTCGAATCTGGCATTGCCATAAGGTCTACACGGCCGCCCGGAACCGGATTTTTTTTGCATTTTTTTTCACGTTATTTTTAATATAAATTAAATAATAATATAATAATACAGGAACATATCGTACATTATTATTATTTAAAGTCATTGTCATATTATATCATACAATAAATAGGTACATATTATATTTGTTTTGTTAGGAATTATTATAATTGCATATTTTTTCAAAAAGTCCATGATTGTTATATAAATATAGTTGTATTTTATTTCGGATTGCCTACCTAGGTGGCTAAATTGAAAGTTAATCGATTTTGACTTGAGATGACTGACTTGCTAGACACTCCAACACGGTTGTCGACTTTACACTTTTTACATAAGGAATGGCACCGGACATGCGAAGCCACATACCACTCTATGTGATATACCTACTATATATAGGTGATAGACGGATTGCTCATTTTAGTTTCGTCTTAAACGGTGATGATTGACTTGACAGACACTTTAACAGTTTAACATGCAGGTTTTTGCATTTTTTTTTTTAAATTAATATATATACATTATAGGTAGTGTTTATATGTACTTATTGTATTGGTTAATATAATAGTAGGTATGTATTATAATTATGTATTATGTATTATAATTATAATTGCACTTTTCTCAAAGTGTTCATTGTTATATTATATCACACAATAAATACATATCATATTTGTTTGTATGTATATTGTATATAGTTTGAATTTTTCGTAAATTATTTCGTAAGTTGTGTGATAGGGTTTTCACTTATAGCCGCTTGACGTCGGGTCTGCAATCCACCGCAGGTGGATTGCCTACCTGATTTGCTGTAGCACATTGTCCGCGATCCGACGAAGTCGGATTGCCTACCAGCCTACCTAAGTGGCTAACTTGAAAGTTAATAGATTTTGACTTGAGATGACTGACTTGCTAGAAACTCCAACACGGTTTTCGACTTTACACTTTTTACATAAGATAAAGCACCGGGCATGCTACGGCACATACCACTTTATGTGCAGGTATACTCTATATAGGTGATCCTGGAGATCGTATCCAGCCTATCCATTTACAACGTTTGTGACGGATTGTTAGACACTCAAACTTTTAACATTCCCGCCAAAGCGTCTAGCCTTATATCCAATCCATATCACTAATCCTTATCACAAATCCTAAACTTTCGTCTTACAACCTTTGCGACTTTTATAATTCATTGTCTCCAAAATCGGTACCCACTCTCAGCGATTCCAACGGGCCCCGAGTTATACTTAGAGCTAGTAACATTATAAAATAATATGTAGTTACTATTAATATGATTAAACTTTGGTTTGAAAACAATGGTATAAAAACTGTATTGATAAAATATGATAAACATTTCATAATTTTTATTTTAATAGTGAATCATTAAATATTATAATATTATAAATTATACTCGTATTGTACTTAAACGTTGAAATGGCAAAACGTTTTACGCGTAGCTCCAAAATGATCAATATCGTGCAAAATTCTAGCAATACAATTTACGAAGATAATAACGTATCCAATGTTACTACAAAAAAACGTAAAATTAATAACAATATGTACATTCAGTCTGCTAAAAGAGCCGGTATGTCGTATAATTTTTTTTCATACATAGTAAATACGTTATATTTTATTAGTTGTAATTAATTATGGTTTATACAGAATTGTTGTCAGAACAAAACATACCTGTTATGAATCAAAACTATAAAACTAAAGTCCAACTATGGCTTCAGAGTAATTTACAAAATACAGAGTCCTTTTCATTATTACCTTCAAATCCAGGTGAAAAAAATTCAAAGGATGCTATAGGTAAGTAACTTATATATTATTTTCAATTGGTTGATAGATAATTAATTATATTTTAAGATAAAATTCTATTTTGTATCTTCATAGAACTAACTACTATTACAAGTTGTGTTGATAATGTCATGGTAAAAAATGATGATTATACTGATTTACAAAATGAGACAACTTCATTATTAACTTCAAAATTAAATGAAAACAAATTAAACGATGCAATAGGTAACATAATATTATATTGTTTTAGTTGTTTGGTAGGGAGGTACCTACTTATGATACTACTTAATGATATTTTTATATTAAACTATATTATTTTTTTAACTTAACAGAACAAACTGGCATTACACGTTTTGTTGATAATATAATGGTAAAAAATAATAGTTGTACTGATTTACAAAATGCAGAGTCTGCTTCATCATTAACTTCAAAACCAGATAAACAAAATATAGATTTGAATGGTAAATATTTTAAACATTAAATATTTTCTTTTAAACCATAATTTAATAACTGTTTATTTTAATTCATAGAATACAGTAGCAGCCACTCTGAATTTGATGACAGTGACAAAGATAAAGATTGGGTGATTGAAAATAGGCAAAAAAACTTAATATCACTTGATTCATCAGTAGACGAGGGTGTCAATAATAATGTTAGAGATATTGAAGCAGATGTTGTAGCTAACCACCATCCAGAATTAGAAAATATTGACTAAATTTATGGCCACTCTTTATTTATATGCTGTAACATACTTGAGTATTTCTTCTATTACTCATAAGTACCTAATTGTTGGACATACCCAGAACGAAGGGGATTCTGTCCATTCAGTCATAGAAAAACAAAAAACAAGATTATTAAAAGCAGGTTCTATTTACTCTCCTCAACAATGGGTAACTGTTATTCAATCAGCAAAAAAAACAGGAAAGCCTTTTAGAGTCCATGAATTAAACTATCAACATTTTATTGATTTCAAGAAATTGACATCTAATATGGGAAACAATTTTAACAAGAATACATTAGGACAAAAAGTTGTTTGGAAAGATGTAAAAGTATTGAAAGTTTCTAAAGAACATCCTGATAGACTTTTTTATAAAACATCATATGAAGAGAAGGATTTTGGTGAAATAATAGTGATGAACAAAACAAGAAATGCCAAAAGAAAAAGTTGTGATTTAGAGTTAAGTAAACTCTACACTGAACCACCAGGTATTTCAAAAGAAAAAAAAAAAGACCTAATTCATCTTTGTGAAAGTAAATTGATTCCTGAAAACTATCATTATTTTTTCGAAAATTTGAAAGTATCAAATTCCTGTGTTGCTGAAGTCAATGACGAGAACAGTGATTAGTATTTTTATTTTTACTAAGTTTAATAAACTATTTTTTGAAAACATAATTATATAATATAAGATAAATAAGACTATAATATATTCAATTTTATCTATGATTCATAAACAATTAAATTACTTTTTTAATAATAATATAGCCATTTGTATAAGTATAAGTTTTATAATTTGTATATCAATAGATAAAAGTATTATTCACCAAAGAAGAAGGAAAAGTCTTTATTTTTAAATTTTTAATTTCGTTACTTAATGATATTATGTAAAAGTTTTTATTATTATTTTGTTTATTCAAATGTTATTACTTTCATTAGGTACCTACATATTGTGTTATTACTTATAAATATTATTCATCAAAGATGAGGGAAAATACTTTATTTTTAGTTTCTATACTTAATGATATTATGTAAAAGTTTTCATTTTTTATTATTAATTTTCTTTATTTAAATGTTATTACTTGCATTAAAATATGTGTTATTACTTAAACCAAGTCACAATAATAGAAACAATTATTTTTAAAAATGTCTTGTGTAAATTAGTACCTAGTTGTGTCATGTGAAAAAATTACTTTTTATTATATAAGCAAACAACAGACTGCCACATTTTGTGTTGTGGCATTAAATGAAATTATTAAGAAAATCAAGACTGCCCCATTTCATTTTGTGGCGCATAAAATATTTGGTTTGAAATGAAATACCGACACAAAACTAAATGTGGCAGTTTTGTTATTCCGATTCCTATTTCTAAACTGCCATAACCTAATTTACCTGTGTCTGATTGAGATTTAACGAAGTAGATCAATAAACAAATATTAAGTTTCAGGTAACATGGATAATTGCAAAGTATTAAAACTTAAGTTTTAAAAGTAACGATTTGGGAGCAGATTACAATTTAAAATTTAATTTTCTCAAAACTATGTTTTCTGAGTTGTGGCGGTCTTGTACCAAGGGTGCGATATATTTCACGTTTCGCAAAAACAAATTAAAAATGTCAAGTTAAATGTATTATAATTTTACATAATCGATTTTACCATTATCGATAATAATATCATGTAGTGTACACATTATATTTTGAATTCAATAATACATAATATACTATTGGTACAATCCAAGGTGTCCTTATTATTAGGTATATCATCAGATTCGGTCAATGTATTTAGGTATATCATACCTCTGCACTCTGTCGCACATTTATTTTGTCCGGAAGGGTTATAATTTAATTGGTCAATTAAATCACCAGTCTGAAATAATCGCTTGCTCGGAATTTGAATAGATAGTTTAATATAATTTCCACTTTCCACTTAACAAAAGTATTATTGATAACCATATAATACATAATATGTGTCGTTGTATTATAATTTGTTACTGCACATTATATATATTATTATTATTACAATGCACACAATAATTCGTGTACGGTGAATAATATTGTGGATTATCGTGCGGTATAACACGATTAAACCGACACGTTTCCCTGTTTAATCAATTAGACATTTTCGCGTCGTTTTTCATTGAACGCAGATTACGAACTGCACTAAAAAAAATTGAAATACATAAATTACAATAGGTAGTATTATTGCAAGCTGTATCATTATTACAATATTATTGTTATTGAAGCACATGATCGCAGAGTTTAATCCATTTTGTTTTAAACGTTTCAGCAAACAAAAAAAATGCGTTACGTATTTTAATGTAATAGTTAGTAATAATTATTATTGTTTTGTTCGATCGTTTATAAACTATAACTATACGCTGCAGTATATTTTAACACTATCATAGTATATAGGGCGTGTAAGACATCATTGATTTGAATTTTTTGTACTATTTATTCATTATTGTAACGAATAGTATTTATATATTTTACCGAACCGGTGTCATTTAGTACCACATCATACGTCATTATATACGCGTACTTGGGAATTATTATTTTCTTTAGAACTTATATACATACATGTTACAATATGACGTATAATAACGATAGACGATATATTATTACTATTATTATATCGTTGGGTACACAATTCATTAATTTTCACATAAATTAATAAATTATATGATACTTAACAGCGTTTAAAAACTTAAACGACAATACCTTTATTTTTAGTGCATACCTATTACCTGTAATATAACGGCTAGGTTCAACATGTTCGATTGGGTACTTAAAAAAATAAAAATACATAATATGTGTGACCGAAGCGGGGGCCGGTGCGATAAATATAATATATAGATTCCTATAGTGTACCTACCTAATATTTTAAATTGATTTTTAAACTTAAATTTAGTGATTTTTTGATCTCCCTTATATATCCATCTATAACTACCTACTTTAACAACTATAGGTAATACATATTTGTTTTAGTTTGATATCGAAAACAGCTGATTATATAGTATCATATTAAATAATTATATATTCATCATTATCATTATATAGGCCTGAATAAGGCGATAGTTATGATTTTTTTTAAGCAAGACGTATTATAATATTTACCTTGCAAAATTTTTTTTGTTTGTCAAACGGATTTTGTGCCCAACTGAGAAGTTTTTTGTACATTTCAAAGTGTTATGTGTGGCTGTAAAAAACTTCACTGACGAATTAACTTTATTTCGTACGTAGGTATATGTATTATTATATGAATAATAATATAGTTTAATAATTTAATGCGATTACATTCGAGTCACGATAACTCTAAATAAACGCCACCCGGAACAAATTATAACCATGGCAATAATATCGTTTACGATTCGTGATAATTATTTTTATTCCCTTTTCGTATAATTATTTCGATTAGTCTGCGTTTATGAAAATATATCATCGTGGCGTGTATTAAGTATTAACAGAACCGAAACTCTCCAAGATTATAACTTATAACGAACCCGAAGTGACAATTCAGAACTTTTGAAAATATTACGATTGAGACTTAATTCACTTATCAATTTTACGAATTGTAAGTATCATTCGATCTTGACTTCATAGTTCGTACTTGCATGAATGAACACGTTAGGTATATACTTATATTATTATCGTGTATTATAAAAAATAAAAATATGTGAATATGTATTATAGACGATGGTGTCGGATCTTAGGTAAACTGCACAAATTTACTCAAAAAATAGGTATATCAACGTTTTGCAGGGCAATAATAAATATATAGGCACTCGTTCGAAATTCGATATTTATAATTAATCAAAATTCTCAGGAAAAAAAAATGCTGCTTCATGATATGAAAATATAAATGTGTGTAGTGTGGTACAACCTATATACCTACAGTTAGAGAGCCTTTATATATCTAGTCTTTATTATCTAGGCTATCTACCTACAGTCGTTCAAAAAAGTAAAAACTTAAAAATACACGTAAGCGATAAGAAAATAATATAGTAAATATACTATTTCCAGTAATATACTATTTATTTTTTATTTTTAAAATATATTTACGTTGTCTTTGTAACCACTATAGACGAAACGAATTATTTCCAAAATCGGTAAAATTTTTCGATAAAATGAACGTACCTTTAAAAGAATAATCGTCCAGTATAAATATATTATATTTATCACCAGCCACTATTATAATATTATATAGCCGTCCGGGGCGTATCACAGTACGATTTTCTCTCTTTTTTTTTTATCACGTCCGTACCGCACGCGACACACACTGCACATTCGTCTGGGATTTATTTTTTACATTTCGTCCGTCATCTATATCAAGACATCTTCGAGAGGGGAGCGGCGGCGGCGGATATGATATATTATAAGTTTCCGGCTCTTGCAGAGCAGCGAGGTTCCGCGATCGAAATTAGTCCTGCACCGAGTGTTTCGATCGGAAACGATCTATACGCGAGTTGTATATATACGTATATACATTATACGGCGTATGATGGCGTGCTCTGTACGACGGACGAAAGAAATCATAAATCATGCGTAGGTCATTACGTAGCAATAAAAAACATATAATGTATCTAAAAAAATAAAAAAAAAAGTTTATATATCGGACAACCCCCGAAAAAGTCGTTATAACCTCATAGGCCATTAGTCGAGTCCGGTAAAGCGGAAAAAAAATAACATATATATACGCGTACACACACACACTGCACGCTCGCGCGCGTGCGCGGGCGAGGGGAGCGGACCGCGCGCGCTGCAGTATGGAGAGGAAAACGCGCTAAGCAAACAACGATGCGATTTTTTTGTTATTTTTTATATACACAAACACACACACACATATATTTATTTTTTTGTTTATACAAATCGAGGGGAATGTTTTTACGGCCCTTTTGTTCGCCGTCTTTAGCGTGCGCTAAATTTCCGGGTGCTCGACTTCGTCGACTTCCTGACGAGCGCCCGTCGTCCCGGATACCGTTCGTCGTTAATCACCCGGTCCGGGAGCGCCGCGCGAGAGGAGGGACGTTCGCCCCCCCGACTATAGGTCGAGTCGCCAAAAAGCGTTTTGTGTGGAGAAAAATATTTTATACATATATAGTAATAATAACAATAATGACGATAGTGTACAATTTTTTATTTCGTCCTACGCTTTTGCAGCTTCTCCTTTTTCTCCTCCTCCTTCTTCTTCTTCTTCTTCTTCTTTGAAGCCACCGCCGCCACGTTTACGAAATCGGCGGCAATGTATCATCTCATACACGACAGGGTTTGTAAGCACATCCTGCCGCCGCTGCCGACTCCTTAACCCCCCGGCCGGCTCGCACAGTATATATGTATAGATACGCGTGACGGTATTATATTTACTGCTTATACACTACGTAATATTATAAGATATATATTATATATATATTACGACGACCGTGAAAAGATAACTCTACGCGGCCATTATAATCGTCCCCGTCTGCGGGTCTATATATTTTTCGGGCATAAAATAAATAGTAAGCAACACACGTTATGCTAAAATTTATCGGTATTTAATACTTTTCTTGAACAATACAATAGGGCTGAGATATCAATAAACTTTACGTCGTCTTCCGAAAAGATATTTTAGCTGTGCAATGAAATGGTGGTTTTTT